TATTATGGAATTTTCACAGGCTGTCGCATAGACGTATGCTGAAATGCACAAGTGGTCTCTTGCTAACTTGTTTAGAGCTTATAGTTTGTGTTACGCACTGCAGGTAGACTAGCTGTATGTACTGCTGCTTCTACCGCTGTAAACACTACTAAACAGCAATAACCAATGTAGGCCTACAGTATGTGATTTGTTCTTTGTATGTTTGCATGGCGAAAAATATAATAGTTTTGTTTGTGGGAACACCACGTAAATTTATTACTGCAAAGCTTTCGATCCGTAAGCCCGGATCTTCATCAGTGCTAATAATATGTGACTTGTTTTAATTCACACGCTCTTTTTATATACAAAAGTGTTGTGATCTGTTGGCTCACGTCATTTGAAATTTAATTAAACAGCACATCAACCACGTCATTTCAAACATAGTGAAGTGATTCCAATTAACGCGCGTGCATCCAAGACAAGAGAAATTAATTTTGCACATTAAAGAGAGCACGCCACGTACTATCTAGTGGCTTTCCCGCCTGATCTATATAGTATTGTGCTTCTCGATTTCAATTGACTCTCTCATTTTGCGAGAGAACTTATGACTATCAATCGCCAAAATGGTTGCATCGTCCCATTTTATACAATGGTCGTAAGTCCAAGTATGTTTAGCCACGTACTGAGAGACTTCGACCAGTTTCACCAATGTAAACCAGACCACATTCACAAGGAATGTGGTACACACCAGGTTTCTGAGATTCATTTACGTTGTCCTTATGTGTGCAAAGAGCTCGAAACAATTTGTTTTCACTTGAATGGTATATCTTTATACCTGCTTCATTCCTCAAAATTCTTTCCATTTTGTGTGAAGCTGGACACTGCAAAATTTTGATTCTTGTTTTAAGCAAGAAAATACTTGTTTCAGGCAATAAATTACTTAAAATAAGTAAAAAGTTACTTGTCCAAATAGTAAGTAAAATATTCTTGCAAAGTATATTTTTCTTAATAAGAATTCTCACCAAGAACGTTTTTCTTAGTAAGAATTCTCTGTAAGATTTTTTTGTCTGAGGAATTGAATTCTTAGCGAGAATTCTTGGTAAGATACTTATTCTTACCAGGAATTCTTGGCAGGAATAATTCTTATTAAAAATAAATATTCTTGCCAAGATTCTTGCCAAGAATCCGTCGTAAGAATATAAATTAATATAGTTCTATTAGTTCTATATATATAGAACTATATAATTATATAATTTCATGATCTCACACCATAAATATTAAATATATTTTGAATAACATCAATAATTAGAAGTCATCCAGTCATGATTATAACACAAAAATTTAAACTAATGAACCATTCATATAGTATATATAAAACAAACTAAACCATGCATATAAAAAGACTTGCAGTGCAATTATACATATAAAATCTTAAAGAAGTCAACTGAGGTAATAATGTTTTGTCACAATCCTCATTCGTTACTTTTCTGAAATTTTTGAAATGCTGCTAAAGTAGCATTAAATGTTTGGACGATATCCCCAGGTGTTGTCTCATCTTCAAAAAATAAGTAATGCAGTAACGTGAACCCAAGCTCATGCGACGCAGGATAATCTAGGTCAAGTAGGTAGTACAGGCCAAGGTAAGCCAACACAGCTTCTCCAAGATGTTTTCTTTCTACCACAGAAACAATCTTTCGGCCAATAATCAAATTGGCATGATTGTTGTCTAATAAAATTACCGGTGCATCTCCTTTTCTCTGTGTGACCCACAGATCCGGATCTTCATGCTCCTATAAAAAATGAAGGGAGAGAATTAATGGTAATATCGTATCGTATATATAGGTATGGTCGGGCAGGGATACTACCAAGCTATTTATTTCAATTCATGGCCTAATTATAAAACAATTATATCGATCGTACTTGTCCTACATGGATGATAGCCGAATATGTGTGTATCATTTTATACAAGACTTGAATTCAACGTACGATTGTTAAATATATTTCTCACACACCGCTGGGAGCTACTGCACCATCAGCCGCACGCTTGACGTTTATTTATCACACAATATTTCCACAAGAAAACATTTTCCGCCTCTTTCGTTCCTCAGCCAGCGGAAAATAGTACATTAATAATCACCTTAATTGTATAAACAACATCTGTGGGTTTTTTGGATGACTTTCCTTGTTTTGACGGGAAAATCTGAGCAATATTTTCCATCACATGAATTATCTTTGCATCTAAAAGTTTAACAGTACTAGTATTAGATAAACAAGACTCGCAGCAAATTGGCATGGACACTACCCACTAGCCAATAAAGTTGAGCATTGAACTGAAACAGCAAAAACTAGTTCTCACATACCGCTGGGAGATACTGCAACATCAGCTGCAACAAACCTGCTCACTATAGCTTGAATAAGCCACACTGCCCAACACACCCTATTATCCCCCCCAACCAGCAGAAAATAATAATTAATTAAGAAAATAATAATTACCTGACACTGCAGAGAACATGTACAATGAAAACCACCCCAATAACCACCAATACTCGACAAATGATATTACCCCAATAACCACCAATACTCGACAAATGATCAGAAAAATTGTCTGGCATTAGACAGAATAAATACTAAAGCAGGGCGCATTGTGCACTAATGGGTTAAAGCTATCTGCCCACGTCTATTGTTAACCCATCAGAGGGCCCTGAAGGGGTAAAATGGGAACTGGGATTGATCTATTTTTAGACTGGGAAAATGGGATTTGGGTTGCTGGGACTGGGGATTTGGGGACTGGGAATGGGAAATGAAGTACTCAAAAATGGGAATGGGATTGAGGTAATGCGAGTCGATTCCCAATTTTTTTGCGTTTTGAGTATTTTAAAATACAATTGTCTTTGGTCATGATTTTTGTTGTTAACTATATTATTCGCAGCACCACCTGCGAGCAGGCATACTCTGGCCCCCGCAATTCTGGGTTTTCTGATTATGTGTGTCTCAGAATGCTGCAGATGCCATTTCCGGGATTCAAATTTAAAAATTTTCTGTGCCTTTGGCACGAGCAAACCCCCTAATATTTCATAAAGTGTCCGCCACTTGCTTAAAAGGTCTTAAAACTGTTTATTCTACCGATAAATAAAGGGGTTTTTACTGCCTGTGATTTCAATAACTGGGACTTCTAATAAAAATCCAACATTTCAGGTGGGAAATGGGATTTGGACCCCCCCCCCCCTCCCATCAGCGTGAAATCTGCCCACAATTTTACTCGCCAGTGGTAGAGTACATGTACCGGCAGTAAATGGGTGCAAATCTAATGAACAACTCTGGCTCTTGCCACACTTTATTAATTTATTGAATGGCAGCACTCTCCACCAGACGAGTTAAATACTCTGGTGTTAGATAAAGTAAAATATTAAACCCAGGTGCATTGCCTGCACTTCAGTGCCAACACTTCCCCCTTGATTAGAAAAATCACCCTGCATTGTCTGGAGTAAAGCAACAAACCAGCGCACATTACCACTTTAACGGTTAATCTGAAATTTATGAAAATGAGCATTGAGGGGAAAACTTACTCAGGCTAGGGCTCATGATATTCTTTACATCCTTTTTACAAATCCCATAGAACATGATATATTCAATGTTTGACTCCAGGCGCCCAACACTTGCTTTTAAAAATGCATTGTTGTCTTTGGTGTCAGAAGATTTCTGCACCGACGAACCTCCTCGACAATCTATTAAAAATAATAAATTAACACATTAATGCACAGGTCTCAGAAATACTACTATGCACCTGAATCAATACAGGCCACTCTTATATATGTACAGGTAGGTTTGGATAGTCCTCAAGAAAATAAGAAACAGACATGAATCACACACGATAGTCAAGTTGGGGCAGAATAGAAAGTTAAAGAAAGTTTTTTAAGATGTACATCAAATTCAAGAACCTGTATGGGATTTATTTTATGCTTAAGCTAGCAAGTGTTTTCGAAATGAAATCCTAAAGTACAATTATATTTCGTTCATTTTGCCTCATGTCCGGAGTTGACAAGTCTATCTTAATTGCTCCCTCCCCACGGCAGCCAGAAAGAAAGAAAGAAAGAAAGTTAGATTTAGATCAAGTCTACTGCACCCCAGCCTAGATACATTTATGTGGGTTTTTAATATTTTGCTGACTATATGCAGGAATTTGGCCTCCAGTCTATATAATGGAATAAAAAACATTACACCAATTATGAAAGTACCTCAACATGATTCCTAAAACATGGATACTGCTCGAACAATTCTTCACACCTAATGTTAGCAGTACTAGATGTAGATGAGCAAAGCCAATCCCGTCTGCATTTGAACTCTTTATTTAGATACATATTGATTACAGACCAATTTGGTTTAGATTTATTGAACTCCTTCATCAATGAGGTGTAATGTCGTTTCATAACCTCTTCAGAATAAGGATCATCATTGCCTAATAAAAACAATACAGAAAATAATAATTAGATTTAAATAGTACATAGCATGATCTGGTATACAGGCCATGAATCGAGTGCCGTGATTTTAGGCATAACAAGATGCCTGCTCAGGCGTTCACACTTCACACTGGCCTCGCGGTTGGTAAAATACCATTGCAATACTCTAAAAAATAATTTGAAACATGTAGATGTTCTTCACTTCTTGACGGCTGTCACTTCATGATCACAAACATTCAGAGGACGGCACAATAAAAATCCATACAAAACCAATAGAGTTCAGCTATATCATATCGAAAAACACAGAAAAGTTGAAGCGCATGCGCAATGAAATACAATAAAATACGTCCCACAATTACAGAGTCTACGATTTGTAACACAGTTAAACACGAAAGTCGTTCTGATTATCATCGTGTAGAATTGGTCCTAATGAGCATCGTGAACATGTTTTAGCTAAATTGTGCAGTCGATGCCGCAATGGAAAGTCACACTTGAGACAACCAAAAAACCCCCAAAAAGGACAGCATTTTCAAGCAAGGGCAAATTATTACACTGGCTGCGGCCAGTGCAATAAATTATAGCCGCAGATTAAAACTTACCAGAAAGAGAGACAAACTCATCTTCGCTAAATTCAGAGGATGATTCACCTAATTTAAGCTTCTTAGGTAGAGTCTCGTCAACACAAGTTGACCCATGTCCATCTTTCTTTTTAGTGGAACCACTTTTTTCACATTGTACAAACGTTTTTGCAATTGTTTGCACAAGAGTTCCTAATATATGCAAATAAAAAACAATTAGAATTATTCTGTTATAAATACAATGTTGATGTTGCACAATTGTTAATGTGCAGGTATAATTTAACTCTTTCTTTACCAAAAACCCTTGTAAGTCCCAAAATGACATGGTGGTAAACAAAGGCATAAAAGACGGAATGGCAGCACTCTCTACTTGACTATTAAAATAATCTGATATTAGACAGAGTGAAATAATATCATAGCCATAGGGCACATCAGGATACAATGCCACATGAGGTTAAACTGGTTTGGTTAAGGTGGCTCTTTATAGTTACCGCAGAAATAAAAGTGGAAACACTTGCGACCTGTGCATGGAATCTTCGTTATCCAAATAAAGCTGTGAGAAATACAGTTTTCAGGGGCCAGTTGTTCAAAGTTGGGTTAGCTTAACCCTAGGTTAACCTAAAATTTAAAGCAAACTTCCCAACAGCTTGTTTGTAAATTTGGAAATATTTCTTCAGAGATCGTGTCTGAATCAGTAGGAGGTTTCTTCTCTGAAGTTTTAAAATAAATAGACGTGCAGAAATACATACTAAAACAGCAGGTTAAATTTAACCCAGGGTTAGCGCTAATCCAGCATTGAACAACCGACCCCAGAACTATATATTTACGAAGAAATTCAAACAGTACGCATCAGTCATATGTTGTTACCCAATTTCTGCACTATATTTTAGTGTGCGTTACAGTACAGTATTCCATTAAACAATGTTCATTAAAATTAATATTATCGAGTAGTTTATAATAAATATTCGGCAATTACGGCAGTTTTCAAATGTTACTGAAACTTATGATTTACCTCAGTTCTCCTATAATTTTTCATCTTCTTAACAAAAGTTCAGGAGATTTGATTTCAGGAAATTTTAATAATAATTCATTTTTAATTAAATACATAAACGTTCTCTGACTAAAATTTTTATTTAAAAACGAGCTTTCGACTACCTAACTGTAGTCTTCGACGGGTAAAGCGGAATGAATTATTATTAAATTACAAGCGTGCATGTGTTAGGTGATATATATATATATACAGGGTGTATCAAAAAAAGTAAGACAAATTTGAAATTGCTCTCAATTCCACAATTCTGTTCATGAAATGAAATTGTTGCTATATATGGATTGCTTGAGTTCTTAAATTATGGAAAATATAAAAAAATTTGAAAATAGTAAATTTTGCTATCCAGGGGGGTGGTCAACTTTTGCTCCCCTAAAAGTGGCTTGCGCACGGAAATGACAAACGGTATTCTTTATTTGAGTTCATGTATGAAAAGTTCGCTATTTGTTGCATTTATGATAAAATTTCGGCAGGATTTTATCGAGTACAAATCCTCCGAAAAGCCTATGAAAACGTTACATTTTTCTCTGTTGGTGCTGTTCTTGCTTCATTATGAATTCATTTTTACTCCCATGAGAGTTCCATGGAATTTCCATGGAATTTGTGCTTTCGAGTTGTTTGTGCTGAAACGCATTCTCTCGTGTAATACCCCTGTACACTTTGAAATGGCGATGCCACAATTTACCCCGCAGCAGAGAGCTTTTATGGTATCAGAGTTCCTCCGTAGCAACAACATAAACTTGGTTCGCCAAAGTTTCACGAAAGAATATCCAGATGTACGATGCCCTTCACGTGCGAATACGAATACATGCGAACCAAGTATATGTTGTTGCTACGGAGGAACTCTGATACCATGCATAAAAGCTCTCTGCTGCGGGGTAAATTGTGGCATCGCCATTTCAAAGTGTACGGGGTATTATACGAGAGAATGCGTTTCAGCACAAACAACTCGAAAGCACAAATTCCATGGAAATTCCACGGAACTCTCATGGGAGTAAAATGAATTCATAATGAAGCAAGAACAGCACCAACAGAGAAAAATGTAACGTTTTCATAGGCTTTTTGGAGGATTTGTACTCGGTAAAATCCTGCCGAAATTTTATCATAAATGCAACAAATAGCGAACTTTTCATACATGAACTCAAATAAAGAATACCGTTTGTCATTTCCGTGCGCAAGCCACTTTTAGGAGAGCAAAAGTTGACCACCCCCCTGGATAGCAAAATTTACTATTTTCAATTTTTTTTATATTTTCCATAATTTAAGAACTCAAGCAATCCATACATATAAAATATTACATTTCATGAACAGAATTGTGGAATTGAGAGCAATTTCAAAATTGTCTTACTTTTTTTGATACACCCTGTATATATATAACAGGAAGTGCAAGATATGTGTGATAATTGAGGCGTCTAGCGATGACATTTTTTATTAACTAGCATAGCATATTGTTTCGGAAGCGGCTTAGAATTATTGTCAGAATTTGTTATTATAGCAGAATGCCAAGATTCTAATGTCTTACGTGTCCGATAATTGCCACAATCTATTACTTTCCCATTATCAAAGTCAATTATATGGTCCATATCCCATGCATGTTTAGCTATGTTTGAGCCTTTTTTAGAGTTTTTTACATTTCGAATATGTTCCTTCTTTCGGGTTCCAAATGATCTTCCAGTTTCGCCAACATATGACCACGAGCAGTCATAGCAAGGTATATTATATACGACGTTGATACGTTGTTCAGGTGGAACTTGATGATACAGGAAACCAACGCACACAGATAGATATCTTGACTTCAACTCTCACCACGACATTAAACACAAAATTAGCACAGCTAGAACCCTTCTACATAGGTCACAAACTTTACCAACCAAACACACAAGCAAACAAGACAAACTCAATCACATAACAACAACTCTAAAATGTAATGGATATCCCGATAAAATTATTAAACAAACGCTAAAAGATTTGACTGCTAACAAACGTGAACCATCACCTGAGGAACTTGTGGGCCAATTTTTCAAACGCGTTACTCAAGATGACAAACCATATGGACATGTGACTCTACCATACATTAGTGGAATACCTGATGCACTCTGACGTATATTACAAAAACAGAACATTAGGGTAACGACTAGACCTTTAAAAACCTTACAAAGAATCTTTCCTACCCCTAAACATCAAGTTCCACCTGAACAACGTATCAACGTCGTATATAATATACCTTGCTCTGACTGCTCGTGGTCATATGTTGGCAAAACTGGAAGATCATTTGGAACCCGAAAGAAGGAACATATTCGAAATGTAAAAAACTCTAAAAAAGGCTCAAACATAGCTAAACATGCATGGGATATGGACCATATAATTGACTTTGATAATGGGAAAGTAATAGATTGTGGCAATTATCGGACACGTAAGACATTAGAATCTTGGCATACTGCTATAATAACAAATTCTGACAATAATTCTAAGCCGCTTCCGAAACAATATGCTATGCTAGTTAATAAAAAATGTCATCGCTAGACGCTTCAATTAACACACATATCTTGCACTTCCTGTTATATATATATATATATATCACCTAACACATGCACGCTTGTAATTTAATAATAATTCATTCCGCTTTACCCGTCGAAGACTACAGTTAGGTAGTCGAAAGCTCGTTTTTAAATAAAAATTTTAGTCAGAGAACGTTTATGTATTTAATTATGTCTAAACCTGGCTACGCTATCTCCATATTTAATTCATTTTTAGTCTAAAATTTAATCTTCAACTGCTGTTGTATAATAGTTACCATAGCAACACACAATTTGCTTCTTTGGAACTTTTATACTTGAAGTATAAGGATTACACAACCGTTATACTTCCGAAAAGTGCCTTATTTCGTATAAATAGCAAAATATTTTGCATCTTTGTGAAGATCTTATTTTTCACTGCAGTTTTTTTCACCACAATAGGGAGCCACCACCTTAAGTCATTTAGGGAAAGTACATTTATTATGCCGAGGGGGGGGGATGAAGATGTTAAGGGGGGCTCCGAAATATTTTCTGGCTTTAAAGGGGGGGGCTCTGAAAGTTCTTGATATACTGAAGGGGGGGCTCTAAACTTTTCAAAGGTTTGACCCCAGCAAATTAAAGTTAAATTTTTACATCAGTTTCAGGTAAAATTTGCATAATAAAGTAATTATTTTTGTGAAATGATAACCATTTTTGTAAAATACAGTCAATTTACATGCAATTTGTTTGCAAAATTTGCTTTAGAAAACGCCAGAAATTCAGTCCTAGAGCTTTGAAAATGTAAACATTTTCTGGGGGAGGACCCCCAGACACCCCTTTTCTCCCAAAACTTAGTATAAGAGTGCCAATCAATCACAAAAAGCTTTATTATAATTATTACACGTATAATCCTCTGACATCCCCCCCCCCCACCCCAAACGTCAGATGCTTTGCTACGTTCCTGATGGTTGTATTCGAAACCGATTTCAGTTTTAAGATATCCTTAGTCTGCTCTTCTAAATGGATACATGAAATCACCTATAGCTTATTTTAAATTTTTTTGCACCATATACAATTTGCAAGAATGATATGTTGTATGTTTATGGGATATTTCGTACAAACGGGATGGAAATTAAAGAAATTGAAGCATACTGGCACTTTTGCATGCATTTTTGACAGGCATGCAAAGGCATTTGCAACAGATGCCGGGAGATGCGTTGGGTGGGGGCAAGATACTGTAAGGTTCCAGCACATTACCCTGATCCAGCAAATCCTGGCCACTACATGAATGTGTTCAAGACTCCGAATACGCTCAATGATGGACAACAACAACCTGTTGATAATTCCACCCCTAGAGCCAATTTAAAATGTTTTAAAGACAGTGCCATTTCATCTGGCGCTAGTGAGATGAAAGAAGCAGCAGATCGGTAGTTTTGTTGAGGAGAAGCACTTGAGTATATCAGACATCTTGAGGAACTGCAAATTGTATCTATGATAAGAGAGAATTCCGGAATGTACTCCTTCGATTCCGAATTCTAGAGGGGGGGCATTGAAAATTTTAAAAACTTTGAGGGGGGGCATCGAAATTTACCGATAACCTCAACAGGGGCCCTGTAAAAATATGAGCTTTTTTCAAGACATCTTCACCCCCCTCCCTCGGTGTAATAAATGTACTTTCCCTTAATGGCGGCTCTCTCCACACGAGTAAAATTGTCCGGTGTTAGACAGAGTAAAATAATATGTTATGACGCTTCAAGATGCATTGCCACTTCACCCATTGGCATGCAATGTGCCGTACTTTAGTATATACTCCGTCTAATGCCAGACAATTTTTCTCGCCGGTGGTAGAGTACTGGCGGTTAATGGGTTTTAACCTCAGTGAGGACTTACCTCACCAATTTCTGAGTCACTGAGGCATGGATATGTTAATAGAAGTGATTTTGCCATCTCTTTAATCTCTGAATTACTTGGAAGTCTGTTAAAAGGGTTGCTGAATGCAACAGCTGCCATATTACTTATTGTTGCTCTGACAAGCCTGTGTCGTAATTCTTGTGGAATCGATCCTGATTCTGCAGCCGCAACAATATCTCTGTCCTGGGAAATCGTGTACTCTGGTGAATTTAATCTAAGCTTGCCTGAAGTGCATGCTTGTGAGGCTGGGCTAGATTTAGCTGCAGATGGTGTGACAGGTGGGTAACTTTTAAACTTTCAACATATCTTGGCGAGTCAGTCTTGCTATTCCAAGATCCAGAGCTGGATGTCTCAGACAATTCCTTATAGAATTTTGAAGAATGCATTAATAGAGTGACATTAACAAACAGGAATTAATTCATCATTTTAGTTAATTAACTGGATTCTGATTGGTTAAAAATCATGCCGATTAAAATTAATCACACAGGTGTGCTGATTAACGATTAAAGACATTAATAGTATTTTTGTCCATGAAAAACACCAAATATTCTACAGCTGTGACCGATTAGCATTAGGCTGTGCCCTTTGAGTTGTTTTGCACACTGTGGAAATTGATTCTGATTGGCTCTCATAAGCAAACAACTAAGTGTCTGTTAAGCAACCTTGCAAGCCATGCTCATTACCTGTGCTTCGGCTATGGCAAAGACTCTGGATCAGTTTGGTCATGTGACACTTTTGAAATTTATTTCCTATAAGGGGTGAGGGGAAAAGTGTCATACTTCAGACCACATGCAAGGAGTGAGTGCAATACAAAACAGAGTATATCAACAGTATTTTACAGTATAAAATAGACAATATTATAAAACTAGTAATAATCTATTAATTACTACCTTTGTCAGTTGCTATATTTAAAGATACGATTCCGAAAGTCTGATATCTTGACATGTCTTGCCAGAAAATCAGTTGTTACATACAGTTTGCTCTTGGAAGCTGCCTGAACGACCGATTTAGTTTATACGACTGATTCATATTTATAAACTGAATCGGTCGTTCAGGGAGCTTCAAATAGCAAACTGTATGTAACAACTGATTTTCTGGCAAGACATTTCAAGATGTCAGACTTTCATGCCACATGACCAGAATGAACCAGGGTCTTTTCTGTAGCGCAAGCTCAGATAAAGAGTCTGGCTTGCGAGATTGGGCAGGCTTTAAGCTGGCATCCACTAAAGTATGTGAGGTTTTCTGCAGGCTGTACTTGGCGTCGGAGTAACTCACGTTCGTTTTTGCCCACCAGTACAGACAACCCACTCGGTTAAAATTATGATTTTCTCACAATATTTTGTTGGTCTGAAATATTCACAGTGTTTCAGTGCCATATCAATTATTAAAATTAATAATACAACCATTTAATACTACTTACAACTGATGGAGGAGATGATATGATTTTCCAAATTTTGGACCTTAATAGCAACGTTTTTGCCCCTTCTTCAGGAAAGAGTTCCTTTATACTTTCGTAGCACAATTGTGATAGATCTTCGTCAATGCAAATTTCAGCATCTGTGAAATATTGAGAAGAACAGAATCCCGACTGAATCTATTTAATAGCATTTATGCATAAATATTATATAATGAGCAGTCATGATGATTTTAATAAATATTTAATATACAGTAAAGCTTCTGGTTGCTCAACTTCAGATGAAAATTATATGGAATAAACTCACAAGAAAAGGACAATTTCTTACCTTCAAATACTTTTGCTGCTTGTTGTCCAGCGATACGACGAATATTCTGAAGCAAGGAAGTCATTTTGGCAATAAAATATCGACAAACAGTTACGATTTCCTTGGATTTCCCTTTATTCAAATTTTCAAAACTGTTAGTGTTTAATAGCTATAGCACAGTATCTGGTATCCAACAACCAATGACCACGAGACAAAACAAAAAATCCCACAGTGCGTTGCGCTCTCATTTCAGAATGACCCTTATTTTCCTCATTCATCCCCAGTGGCCCCCAAGGGACCAGAATAAAATTGTGTTTCCATCCATTCTGTTAAATTTTCTCCACTTTCTATTCCCCCGTTCCGAATGTTGTATTAACTTGTAAGTTGTAACCAATAAATTATTGCAAATTGTAAACCATTAAAACCTAAAAACATATTGGGTTGTAATGCCTAATGTTTCGGGGGTTTTTAAATTTGAACAACAAGCATGGGTGAGGTACGGTGGCCCACAAGTATCACGGCAAATGTTTTTAAAATTACGTTAACATAAAGTTCAAATTGACTGCAAAACAAAATTTATTGAACGGATAATCTTTATATTTGCTACAACAACAATTTAATGTTGACAGCAAAATAAAAAGTCACGGCAAAATAAAAAGTCACGGCAAAATAAAAAGTCACGGCAAAATAAAAAGTCACAGCAAAATAAAAAGTCGCGGCAAAATAAAAACTCACGGCAAAATAAAAACTCACGGCAAAATAAAAACTCACGGCAAAATAAAAACTTACGGCAAAATAAAAACTTACGGCAAAATAAAAACTCACAGCAAAATAAAAAGTCGCGGAAAAATAAAAACTTACGGCAAAATAAAAACTCACGGCAAAATAAAAACTCACGGCAAAATAAAAACTCACGGCAAAACAAAAACTCGCGGCAAAATAAAAACTCACGGCAAAAGTCACTCACTCAATGTTTCCACTTTGGAGAGGATATCCATTTCAAGTAAGATTATTTTCAAATGAAAATTTTTCCGAAATCTGAAACGGAGATATGTCAATACTATCAGTTTGTCACTCCATGCACATGCAATGATATTTTTTACTATTACGTCGTTTACTGTGACAAGGGTGTTGGCGATAAAAATATAAATATATAAATTTGGGATGAATTTCAAAGAAGAGATTTGATGGAAAATGAAATTTGGATAACGTCGATGAATTTTTTAATGGTTAAAGTGGAAATCGCAATTGTTTGTTTGGTTGTTCCGTTGTTGTTGTGGAACTTTTGTGGTGAAAGATTGTCAAAATTTAATAACGTTTCGTCTCCTAAATTCTAAAATAATGGAAGACAGTGAAACAATGTAAGTATGTACAATGTCCCATCTGACAATAATGCAGGAAAGAGGGGAGGTGGCAAAAGGCGGAGCATTTAAAAAAGCGCGACCCGTCGGACGGGAATAACTTGAAACGACTGAATATTTAATATAACTGTTTTATTATATGCACAAGGTCTGAATTCACAGACTTTGCTTTTCCGTTATTTTCAATATTTTTCTTATTTTGTTTATGTTTTTATCTTCGCTCTTTCGGTCGATTATTTTTCCAAAAATATATATTTTTAACCATTTTAAATTGAATAAACAATTCATTTGCTAACCTGTAAACAATTTGTGGGAGGTTTTCATTGTGTTTTTAATCCTGTAAGCGCTATAAAAAGCGAACAACTTGCCGTTTTCTCATTCGCAAAACGTTGGAAATTCAGTTTCAGCCGCCATTTTGTTTTTCTCTAGAAAACAGAAATTGCAGAAATGCAGAATAGCTCATACCTAACCTGCGATCAGGCCTATAAATAAATAAAAGGCCTATAAGTAAATAAATAAAAGGCCTGATACAAACCTTAACAAAAGTTCATGTTGTACAATCGTATTTGGGGTGTAAATCTGATTGGTCTATGAAACAAAAGATTTTTTAATCTGTCATTTGATTGGTTGGTGCTAATTAGATTATACTATTGTTGTTGATATATTTTATAGTAATCACAAATATAATTTAATTGTTGTTGTCGTTGTGTGAAAATATTTAAATTTCTCCTGCGACATTTTGATTCAACTGATTGGATACTAAATATAAACTTTGCTGTGTGTGGAAAGCGATCGGATTAAGGTTTGTCTAATGTGTCAGGCTATTATTTGTAAAATAGAGCCTGATACTCAGGTTTATTCAGACCTTGTGAATATAATAATTTCTCATATTTCCTCTCTGTAACTAGCCTGCTCGCAGACGTTGTTATTCTTACGCAAAACGACAAAAAAGTAACGTCTGCTGACCCGAGCGCCAGAATGAATTCTGCTACGTCAACCAATCAGAATTTACCTTCCAAATTCTGGAAATTGACGTCAGTTGGTACAACCTTGTATCCAGG